AGCTCTGCAGGAACATCCACATCTCGTCGGCCTTGGGAGGCTTGCAGGGCAGGCGTTCGCGTCCGTTTTATAGTGAGGAAGTGGGGGGCCAGCTTTCTGACCTCGGAACAGTGCCCTGTTCCCAACCCCGGCTCCTGAGGTATATGGATCCCCCGGAAAAGCATTCACATGTCACATTGTCATCCAAGACCCCATCTGATTTGAGCCCATGTATCAGCTCACATGTACCAACTCCACTACTGGATGAAGGTCTCTCCTTCCCTCCCTTCTCTGTGAGCTGGGAGCCAATAGGAGGAGGGACTCACCTGGGACCCAGGCAGGGACTTGGGTAACACTGGTTGTGACCTGCACGGAAATAAGAGAATGTTTCTCTGGGTTCGGCTGTCACCCCCATCACTCACTCCCTTCTCCCAGGCTTCCCATCCAACTCACTCACTCACTCACTTTTCGTTCATTCCTGGTATTAAGTTCTTACGACATGCTGGGCATTTTGCTAGGCACTTTATATCCACACCTTATTAATCTCAACTATCCTATCATAGTAGGTTGTAATGATTAAATGTATGTCATGTGCCAGCTCCGTGTCATCTCAGCAAGTATCATAGCCATGCTGTGATCTCAGAGACAGGAGCAGAGGCTCCAGGGGTTAACTAGCCTACCCAGTGTCACAGGGCCAGTGTGGTGAAGCGGGATCCCAGCCACACCTGCTGTCCCTCCCCACAGCCCACGGGCAGAGGTAGATAAGCCATGGGGAACCAGGAGGAGAGATGGCAGAGGAGGACAGAGGACCAGGAGCGTGGCTCGGGACTGTGAGGACGTGGAAGTGGAACTTTGGTCTGGGAAGACAACACGTGATTCTCCAGAGAGAGAAGAAGCTCATTAGAAAAAGTGTTTGGGTCAGTGGTTGAGCATTGACCTGTGAACCAGGAGGTCACGGCTCCATTCCCAGTCAGGATCAATGATTCTCTCTCATCATTGATGTTTCTATCTCTCCCTTCCTCTCTGAAATCAATAAAATTTTTTTTAAAAAAATAAGTAAAAAGTGTTTGGGGACAGTCAGGTATGCAGGTTGGAGGGGCAGGGGACAGGGGAGGGATTGGCAGGCTGGCGAGGGAAGAAGCAGATTCATTCTTCTGGAATGGTTTTCTAGGAGGACGCTTAGTTCTTACAGGGGACTGCTGGGCTCAGGGAAGGGGGTGGGATCCCCGTTTCTCAGTGAAGTGGTTTGAGGCTATCCACAGCTCTGCCTCTACTTCCCCACGAGCCACTCACAGAGGAGACCTTGAGGTTTAAGCAAATCAAGCTCAGAAAATGCCAAATCTAAAATTCATCTAGAACCAATTCTAGACCTCATCTGCTTGAGTGACAGCCAGAACTAACAGGTCACGTGCCTACTTCCTTTCTGAAGGGGGCCCCAGACCAGCCCAAGTGAAAAAGCATCGAAGCTACTTGATAAACAGCAGCTATTATTACTTCCTTTAGGATAAAACTGGGTCCTCGGATCCACCCTCCACTCCAGCCTCTCTCCAAGTAAGATCCTGCATATACTCCGTCCTTCTCCCTTTCCTCCCTCACAGGACACTGCCCCATGGCCTTGGTGGCTACCAGGTCCCCCTCTGCCACACTTGCCCAATTCCCTGGTGAGAAGACCCACTCACCTGGCCAGCCTGAGAGTCACCTGGGAAGGAAAGGTGAGAACATGAGCTCAGGGAGGGTAGTGTGGCCGCCTTGTCCCCTCCACCCACAGACAGGGCTGGTTCCACCTGTGACCTCCTGACCTTGTCCCCAGAGGTCAGCAGTGGAGAGAGCTCAGACTCTTATGCCTGCCTCTGCCCCTCCCGCCCCCCTGGGACTGGCCACCACAGGCCCCAGCGTCCCAGATCTGGAGGGTCTACAAGGTGTGTCACTTGGTGAGAGGAAGCCTCCTAGTTCCCTCCAAGGCCTCCTGTGATGGGAGTCCCACCCCACCTGGGCCAGGCCACCCTGTGGTCCTAGCTGTAACCCTCCTGCCTCCCAAGCCTGCCAGTCACACCAGGTCACTCTGCCCCTCCCCCTCACCAGGGGAACAGCTCTAGGGAGGAAAGGAGTTGCTCCTCCCTTAGTCAGGGTCCAGTTCCCATGGTGACTAGGGCTCTGTCCTGACTTCCCTCTCTGCCTGCTACAGATTCCTGGAGAAATTTTGGCCATCACATAGTTCTCCTGGTCCTACTATGACCTTGGCCTCCTGCACTCTGTGTTACCAGTAACTTGGGCATGCCTTCTGCCTGGTTTCCCAGGGCACCTGCCAGGGGTGCCTCAAGCCCAGTCTCCTCCCAGCCCCTTGCCTCCTGGGCCCAAGGCAGTTGAGCTGGAGTTCGTGCTCTGACTCTGAGGTGAGGGTTGGGGATCGAGAGCACCCAGACTCCCCAGGATCCACCCGCCAGCTCTTCAGGCCTTGAAGCCAGCACCAGCCTCAGAAGCTGCATGGCCAGGGGCAGGGGATGGGAAGACTGAGGAGCTGGGGTGGGGCTGCTGTTGACCTCTCCCACCCCCCACCAGCAACTCCCTGGGATGTGGGGCACCTCTTGACCCCATGGGGGAGAGGAAGTGGGTGAGGCCTCATGCCAGGCCAGGAGAGCAGGGTCCCAGGGCTGGGGTGCTGCTGCTCCAAAGTCCCTTTCCTGACTCCAGGAGATGGATGCCAGGCACCCAGGATAATCTCCCAGGTGGCTCTTTGAGGTGCTGCAATCCCAAGGGGAAGGGGAACCCCCCATTGCATCTCCCCCAACCCAGATACCCTTGTCAGGAATGGTCCCGGGCCTTCAAGCCAAGGTGCTTGTGGCCCGCCCGGAAGTGGCTGCCTT